ATATGTGGGGAAGTGCATGCATGCGGGAGTTGTCTATATGTGGGGGAAGTACATGCAGGGGGGGGGGAGCTGTCTATATGTGGGGAAGAACATGTAGGAGAGTTATGTGGGGGAGGTGCATGCATGCGGGGAGTTGTCTATATGTGGGGGAAGTACATGCGGGGGGGGAGTTGTCTATATGTGGGGGAAGTACATGCAAGGGGGGGAGTTGTCTATATGTGGGGGAAGTACATGCAGGGGGGAGTTGTCTATATGTGGGGGAAGTACATGCAGGGGGGGGGGGGAGTTGTCTATATGTGGGGGAAGTACATGCAGGGGTGGGGGAGTTGTCTATATGTGGGGGAAGTACATGCAGGGGGAGTTGTCTATATGTGGGGGAAGTACATGCAGGGGGGGGTTGTCTATATGTGGGGGAAGTACATGCAGGGGTGGGGGAGTTGTCTATATGTGGGGGAAGTACATGCGGGGGGGGAGTTGTCTATATGTGGGGGAAGTACATGCAGGGGGGGTTGTCTATATGTGGGGGAAGTACATGCGGGGGTGGGGAGTTGTCTATATGTGGGGGAAGTACATGCGGGGGGGGGAGTTGTCTATATGTGGGGGAAGTACATGCGGGGGGGGGAGTTGTCTATATGTGGGGGAAGTACATGCAAGGGGGGGGGAGTTGTCTATATGTGGGGGAAGTACATGCAGGGGGGGGAGTTGTCTATATGTGGGGGAAGTACATGCAGGGGGGGGGAGTTGTGTGGGAAAGTACATGCGGGGGGGGGGAGTTGTCTATATGGTGGGGAAGTACATGCAAGGGGGGGGAGTTGTCTATATGTGGGGGAATTAGTGCATGCATGCGGGGAGTTGTCTATATGTGGGGGAAGTGCATGCAGGGGGGGGGGGAGTTGTTTATATGCGGGAGAAGTACATGCAGGGGGGGGAGGTGTCTATATGTGGGGGAAGTGCATGCGGGGGGGGGTTGTCTATATGCGGGAGAAGTACATTCAGGGGGAGGGGAGCTGTCTATATGTGGGGGAAGAACATGTAGGAGAGTTATGTGGGGGAGGTGCATGCATGCGGGGAGTTGTCTATATGTGGGGGAAGTACATGCGGGGGGGGGAGTTGTCTATATGTGGGGGAAGTACATGCGGGGGGAGTTGTCTATATGTGGGGGAAGTACATGCGGGGGGAGTTGTCTATATGTGGGGAAGTACATGCGGGGGGGGGAGTTGTCTATATGTGGGGGAAGTATATGCGGGGGGGGGAGTTGTATATATGTGGGGGAAGTACATGCAGGGGGGGGAGTTGTCTATATGTGGGGGAAGTACATGCGGGGGGGGAGTTGTCTATATGTGGGGGAAGTACATGCAGGGGGGAGTTGTCTATATGTGGGGGAAGTACATGCAGGGGGGGGGGGGAGTTGTCTATATGTGGGGGAAGTACATGCGGGGGTGGGGAGTTGTCTATATGTGGGGGAAGTACATGCATGCGGGGAGTTGTCTGTATATGCGCGAAAAACTACATGCATGCGGGGAGTTGTCTATATGTGCGGGGGAAGTACATGCATGCCGGGAGTTTCTTTTTTTTTGCAATGATGGCCGCCCATAGATCTCGGCCATCGAGTGACGAACAATTTAGAAACTCGGTACATGCATGGAACAACTCATCATAAACACACCTAGGAAATTTCATGACTATAGGTCAAAGGGTTTTGGAATTATGGCTCATTAATTATACATACATGAATGGTAATTCTGCTCTGTGTACACGACGATCCGATTTTTATGTTTTTGGTTTCAAAAGATGCCTAAGGCTCAAGGCTAAAAAGTCATAACAGCTGGGGTCGCGAAAAAAAAATCAAGGCTATCGCGGAAAAAGTTGATTTCTCCAAAGTTCCCCATCAGCGCCTATTAAGAAAACTGCAGGAAGTGGGCATCCAGGGTTCCCTGCTGAAATGGATTGAATGTTTCCTCACCACCCGCACCCAGCGAGTCGTCATAGAAGGCGAGTCATCTCTTACACTCATGTTGCATCTGTAGTCCACTGTTGTTCATCTTGTATGTGAATGACCTGCCAAGAGCTCTGACTTCTCGGATTAGAATGTTGGCAGATGACTGCATTGTCTACCGAGAGATGATCTGCTTCCGAGAGTGCTGAACTTCAGAAGGATATAGACAGATTACATAACTGGGCATCAAAATGGCAGATGGAGTTTAATGCTTCCAAATGCTACTGTATGCATATAACACACAAGAAGTCACCCCTCAGGAACAACTACTCACTGAACAACCATGTCCTGGAAAACGTCTCTTCCCACACTTATTTAGGTGTACACATAAATAGTAAGTTGAATTGGGCACAACACATCAGTAAAGTAGCTACAAAGGGAAATCAGATGTTGGGTTTCATCCGTAGAAATCTGTACAGCTGTTCTCCACGGGTAAAAGAAGCAGCCTACAAAACCCTTGTTCTCCCACGCTTGGAATACTGTGCTCGTATCTGGGACCCATCTCATAAAAAACACTCATCTCAACTCGAGGCAGTCCAGCGCAGAGCCGCTAGATTTGTGACAAACCAATACACCATGACCGATAGTGTTTTCTCCATGATTTCAAGGCTAAGTTGGAGACCTCTAGAGGATCGCAGAATGGTTGCACGCCTGTCTTTGCTATACAAATCCACACACCACAGAGCAGCAATAAATTCTGACCATCTTCATCATACCTCAAGCACGATGGGTGTACAAACTCGCACAACAGGATCAATATCCTTTATGACAGCCGCAAGTACTAGCTCCTTCCAATCAATAACTACTGCAGAATGGAACCTACTCCCAGCATCTGTGACAGAGGCTCCTTCACTTGATGCACTTAAGGACAATCTACTGAAACTAAACTTGTCGAGTATAAAAAGCAGAGCTTATTATTAGTGCCCCCACACCCCACCTATACATCCCATAACGGGAGATTGCTTGCAGTATTGATCCAGATCCAGATCTAAGTTTCATTACACGCGTAAGCTAATCGAACACACGTGATGACATAAGTAGCTTCACAGACGTGTTTACGTGTGCTCAATCAGCCTCAATGTATTCCACTTATTTGAAAGATCTTCCTAAATCCATTATTTTCAATTGAATCAAACGAAGGTTACCTGCTTTGTATACATTCTTCGATTTTGCTTCTACACCCACAAGGCCGCTTCAACGGGAAACCATAGTGTACTCTATTGTACAACGTAATGCCCATGACGGATTATCTGAACAATAGCTAGCATGGCTTTTGCCATTGAATTATTGAAGGGGGCTTGCATAGAAGTGATAGGTACCCAGATTGGCCTGCAGGCTGTGATGCCGGCAGTGCATTTACTGTTGCATTTGTGTTCTCAAACCAGGATTTTTCATCCGCATAATAGTATGGCTAGCTCAACAAAACTAAATCAAATGGAGACAAACAACAACATCCCTGCCAAGCAGACCGGTAACTCGGATGCTGATTCAAATGGAGGTTAAGATATCAAATCCAACTTCGTGTTCAAGGGTGGACCCTGCTATGTGTATATATCTGTTTGTTTATTTTATTCAATTTCTTGGGAAAGGCTACAAATCAGTTAAAGGTCAGTCCATCATTTGTAATTTGTGCATTATGTTCGTTTGAAGCAACAAAAGTGACCGAAATCTAAAGCAACCAGGCGCGCGCGTGTGCGTCGGGTCGATGCTTGTCGTATGCTTTTCTACAATAATTTTGTCAGTTACTTTTCTGGATAGCTGCAAATGATGGACTATAGCTTTAACAAAAGAAATGCCCATCAGTTTGACTAGTTTGAGAGTCCCTTTTGATGATTTCAGGATATCTCCATATCATTCTGAGATACAGTCAAAATCAATTTGAGATATCTCTCCATGTTGAGAGATATTTCTAAATGATGTGAACGAACACTACTAATGCCAACCATACTAATCAGCAATACAAATGACAGAGTCATGGGTGTCCAATCCCAGTTGTCCCGAGTCCTACAATCATTCATTTAGCTATAACAATTGAACTTGCATAATTGATTTCGTGACCAACCCCCCCCCCCCCCAACAAAATCAGGCATGGAGATTCTCACATTCAGTAAACTCAGCTTTTCGTCTCCGTCTTCGGTGAAATCACGGATCCTACACACAAGGATTAACGACTCGGCCCAACTCCTGGTTAGATGCGTGATAACGGCCTGTACTGGTGGCAAATACATGAATACTTTTTAACAAAGACCACTGCGCGCGGTGGCTTTCAGACTTGCAAGGCTCTTCGGCCGATCTGGCCTCGAAGTCTGTCAAGCCAGCGAATTATATTTTTGAATATTCATGAGTCTACGTTTTTGGTCTTTATTATTGAATTCTGATAAGTGATAACTACATACCCATTGTAACGCCGAGCACAATATCTTTAGCTTTAAGATGAACAATGCAATGTCGCTTTTGTTTCATCGGTTCGGCATCCTATCTCCCTAAAACTTTTTAATAAAAGCCTAATTAAAAACAAAATTTGGGTAAACGGTGTTCTCCTCGAAATTTGACGTTTATTTCCCGGGTAAATACTTCATCTATGACGACAAAAACAGCACAATACCATCTGTTATATCCTGAAGTATTTATTTTTAAAAATAATTTGGAACAATTATATCTTAAATAAGAAGTAGATTTACTTACAGTTTTATGAAAATTTCCGTTTTAAGATGTCGTGCAAAAACCCAACACAATGGCACATGTGGAAAATTCGCGATTACGCGCCAACTGGTATTAATGCCCGTTATCACGTGTCTAACCAATTAAGGCAAGTCCACTGAGTGCATTTTGTACTAGAGCTCAGAACAGTCGTTTATCCCGGTGTCTAGGATCCGTGGTGAAATCATCGTGCAAGGTGCTAGGTTAACCATCATCAACGTACAGCGGGGCGTGCACACTAGCAGCACGGTCCCCCACGTGACCATTAATCTAGATAACAAGGGGGAAAATACAATGATGACTGAATTGTAAGCACCTGCTAACGCGCACGGCTACCTGTGCTTGTTGATATGAAGGTCAACATTTCCATTCACATCAGCATCAACAATAAAAAGCCGGATTGTTTACGAGACTGTGTACTATAAATGCAGGACTCATGCCATTTCGTTGGCAGTTGAGGCAAAACAAACTGGATGAAGCAGTTATCAAGCGAACAGACTTGACTGCATGGAGTAATCAGTGCATTTATCGAATCTACATAGCGGTAAGTGGAATTTTGGGCTTTGCTGTGATGTCAATAGAGCAAGTTCTTATTCTCCACCGTATGTGATGATTATTTTTCTTCAGAAATTGAGCAGAAGCCAAAAGGTGAAACAATCGCTCTAAACTACGTACTTAAATTACGTTTAAACTTTCAGTGTCCCTAAAACAAGTTAGAAAACATGATTCCGTTCAATATTATAATGCACCGAACGATAAATTCATTGGTCACTGATATGGCGTTCATCAATTGAACTGACACCACTTTCCATTGATTGAAGCCTTCAATATCCTAAACTACAGATATTATTTCGCTTCTCCCATGTACCCCTGTCTATCGCAAACAAATTCTCTATCTTCACTATCCATGTATTTATCTATTATATCCATGTACAATTCAAACGAAATGACCCTAAAACCGCTTCGTCCAAAAAATGTGATTTCGAAAATCACCGTCACAATTGTCTTCAAACATCACCAGCGATACAAATCTCAGTTTAAAAGTTAAAAATATTCAACAAAGTCCTTTTGAAGGCCCGTTTTTTTAAAAAAAATAGGTGGATTCTATAAATCATATTGTTTGCTTTACCGGGGTTGTTAATAAAGATACTGTGCACTACAGTTGTTGAAACAAGAATTCTGTGTCATTTTGTGTTGTTCCAATCAATCAGAATACACAATAAACTTTTTTTTTTGGACGAAACAGTGTTTTAGGGTCATTGCGTTTAATTGCCGATATTCTTTGAACGGATTGAGCAATTTCAGTATTTTTCATCTAAAAGTAGCGTATGAAATTGGCTTTCGAGTCATTATTATGTTTAGTGCTACATTTTTGTTTTTAATATGAAATATAATTGTTGGGGTTTGGGTTCCGATTTTTTGACTCACCTGTATGTAATTAGTTTTTTTTTAAACATGCATAATGTAAGCCTAAACACGTATAAATCAATCGAATACAGTCTGGTGTCCCGTACACGATACACGACTCAAAAGTTATAATGCACGCACTAAACGTGTTGTTTACTGTTGTCATGACACTACCCTCTTGACACGATTACCCACAATCACAATCACCATCACCATCGACCGTGAATATTTTGGCAGTATTTATCAATCAAGGTCAATTTTCGTAAGAGCGAGGGCAGGGTCTCGCACAAAGCAGTCGATTCGACTCTAGCTGAACCAATTGCTTTGTATATATTTTTTTTTACAATGCATGGATATGATCCAGGTTTATGTTAACAAATGCGGAAAGGCTGTAACGTGGATTTCCAGAAGTATTCATTGGTGGAAAACAGTGAGGGGAATCTCAGTAAAGATGACGCACAGTCAAAGTGTGCCAAATATTAAGGCAAAAACCAGCCAAAGAATTTTTTTTATTAAACAGGGTGAGTAAAAAAAAAACGGTGTGCTTTCTTTCAGCAAAACGAAAACAATTTTGTGATCCGTGGACAGAAGTTCAAAATGGTGGTTGTGTTTAAAATTCAGTAACTTAAAAAGTACATGAGTGATTCGAATGATTTTTGTACTAAATGAAAGCTTATTAATTGGGCCTTTATATCCTATATTTTGAAAGTGCTACACGCAGAACTTCACTTTTTTTACTCACCCTGTAATGTCTGTGGTACACACTTATTTTCGAGTCACCAAGCATCGAGTCCGAGTCCGAGTCACGTGCAGATCGAGTCCGAGTCCGAGATATCCCGAGTCACAAATTTAGGGCAAGTCCGAATCCGAGTCACGAGTAGCAAAGATCCAATCCGAGTCTGAATCACGAGTCACCTTCAATATTTATAAATGGGGAATAAAATTTCGACACGGCAGCGCAGTAGCACGACGTTTGCAACCGCGCCGTGCTACTGCCGTATAACACACCCTGTCGAGCTAAAGTCTTCTGCCGGGGTCGTATCATAAGTCCGACGCCTCATAGGTCCGACGCCTCATAAGTCCGAAATATCTGATGAGGCGTCGGACCTATGAAGCATACAATTTATTTATTCCGCTCAAAGTTGCCAAGATGGGAAGGTCCAAATGACAAGAAAATGGAAACATTTGTGCGGACCATATAATTCACGCTTCTGTGGTCAACCCTCGACTATATGTACACTTCTAGTTTAAACCCATTATATTTTTATAATAAGTCAAGACTATAAATAGTTTGATCATTATTTCGTCTGTTATTGAATTACTGGCCTTTGAAAAAAAAAAATGCATTATCAAAATGACAATCATAAATAGAATGGACGAATAACTCACGAAATCAAATGAAACTCACCCAATCACATACGTCTGAGAATATATTCCAAAGTAGGGCCTAATGTCCAAATACAATTTTGTCCTGTGGTGATTGAGACGGTCATATTCCGAAATATCAACGTAAACAAGGTGCTTTTGATTGAATGGGCAATGGCATGTGATTCCACAAATCAAAGAGCTCTATGCACGCGTGCTTGCCAACTTTTTCTTGTGGTTGTTAAAACTCCTCAGATCAATCCCGCAAAATGATTGAGGAAAAATGTACTGTGCATGTGATGAAAGGAACAGTCAAGAGGTGTGGACCCGTCCGTGGTGTTAACAATAGCATCTTGTTGGGATGCAAGCACAGGGCCGAGTGAATTCGTAAATTAAGAATCAACACTTGCGAGTGTATTCTTCGACTTAACCATTGCGTCAAAAGAAGTCTTGGCATTAACAGTGAGTGGGGATGAAAAGATTTCGGAAAAATGTTGCAACCTGACGCCACTTCCGCGATTGTGTACAAAGTCTATGGAGAGTCAAGACAATTTTTTTAAGTATTCCCTAACAAAATTGGAAATGTTTCTCAGTCCCAGATTCATGTCTTATCGTCATTTTTGCAATGAATGACTGAATGACCTTCATTGAGATGATTATATGAAGAAAAAAGTGGCGTCAGGTTGCAACATTTTTCCTGGCTCCTTCCGTCGATATATGGATAGTTCACACGATGATTTCTTTCTGACTCGAAGTAGGTTTTGCAGTGACAGTGGAGAATTTGAGAGTGAAGATGCATTGGTAATTCGGATGGAAAGTTTTCACGCATTTGGTCCTGTTAATGCTCATTTTATGGAGAACAATTGTCCGACTTTACTAAAGATTCTTCGTTCCGAATCCACACTTTGTGACCAGCGTAACAGATTCGTAGTTCCGAATCCACACTTTTAACAATAGTGTGACGTCATAGCAATGGTTTAAAGTGTATGAATCCACACCTATTTACAAATGTGGTAAACCAGGGATCTTTTTTACATGCTATTGTTGCTCGAGGAAACTGGGTTAAGTCGGAGAATAGACTCGGAACTGTAGATTCGTGCTAAGAATGGACGAGGCGAATTAGCACGAATCTACAGCCCCGTCCATTCTCAGTCTCAATACATTATCACTTATTATTACAGTGTGAGTGGATGCCTGCAGAGAGTCATGGGTAATGGCTGCGTTCGAGTCAGTCCTGATGGATATACAATTCACATCAAGACGGGAGACCACAAGGTACGTCTTTTAAAATTCGTCAGCGTCTGCTTTCCCGTTTCTCAAACGACCGTCTCTAGGGGTAACAAGGAACTTTATGCCCCATGAAATTATTTGGTGCGCTACGAACTACATAAAAAATGTAAACCGTAACCAAACATCACTTGTATAAATAACAGAGGATGCTTCAAAAGCCATAAATTAACGTCTATGAGTTTAGGGGTACAAAAAGTTTACTCGCCGGAACTTTAAAACAAAAATGTTTTGTCTTTTACTGATGTGACGGTATGAGCCACATCCTCGATTAGCGTTAAGGCATGTGATTGGCAAAAATCAATTAAAAATAGGTGTATTGTTTATCTATTATAGAGTTGGTAAGACAAGTAATCTTAGGTAATAAACACACTCGCCCTGAAAAGCAATGAGAAGCTTGTGATTATATGTGACCCGTCATACCATCAAATGAACACAAAGTGGAACCTCGCACAAATGAAATATTTTTATTTCTGGATGCTGCAGAACAAAAGTTAAGTTGTCATAGTATAACATTTGAAATACTGAGTTTGGTAAAAGAATTAAAGTCCGCCAACGAAATTGATTCAGTTGTTTAAGAAAAATTTGAAAAATGGCATTTATAGTTCCCGCTGTTGTATTACAGTCAATGAAATAATGAAACTGGATGAAATTCTGTCTTTAAGACGTTTTATCAAAACAAAAGTGGGAAAAGGAGGGCAGGACTTTGCAGATAGATTTAGGTCGACCTAAAAACAAAAGGAGCGATCACCCCTTTAAATGTTAGTTTTTCGTCATGGTAGTGCAAAATGGCTATTTATGAGTTTTTGTTTATGTTGTGGTGAATAAGACGGGCCACATAATACAGTTTCATCTAGCCGTCACTGAACTGGACAACACCGTGCAAGGACAAGCATTGACACACATGTAAATGTACATGTGTATTTGTAGGCAAGTGCATGTAAGCCTACATGTACATGCATTTGGTCTTTAATGACAAATCAATTTTTTTAAATCGAAAATAGGGGTGGGTGGGTGGGTCAAAAAAAATTAGGAAAACAATCAAAATTTAAAAGCATTGAACATTTTGAATGGCCCCTAATTATATTTATATATAATTAATTTAATATAGCTCTATGATCGGAATGCAGACATTATTGAGAAGGCTTGAAGTTCTTCCAGATGAAAACATGAGAAGAATATATATAATTTTGTATGTCATGCCTTTGCATCCCTTTCAGGGCTCAGGAACGGATTCTTCGGTCAACATGAGCATGTATAACTCATCCGGGTCATCACCTGAAGTCAAGATCAACTGTAACTGGAAGGATGACCTCGAGAAGGGAAGCCTAGACACATTTCACCTGAAGAGCGCGGGTATCACTGAAGCGGTTGAAGGCATCGAGATCAGGCTGTCCGAAGGAATCTTTTGTCAGAATTGGTGAGTTCTACGAGCAAAAAAAATAAAAAAGGGAAACGAGTTATTTTTACATGCTCTGAAACATTTATAGTTATGTAACTTTTCCTGACTGAACCGGAATGAAAAATGATTGGTTTATTTTGGCATTTTTTTCAAGCTTCACCAAAAAAAGACCATTTGAAAAAAAAATGCACTTTTTTTTCACTGTGTGCCTTGTAGACATAATGTGTTGCTGTGGTGTCATTCTTAGCACCCACGTTACAAGACACGGATTCTCGGAACAATTTCTAAATCAAAGCGAAGCTCCGGCAACACAACAGTTTGTGCACAACGTTTTCTCATTCACTCATAACTGTGCGTTACCTCTGCATCAATTAACGAGGTTGTGGAATGCTCGAAGACATTTCCGTCATTTTTCGGGTATATGTAGCCTAAGGTGTGATGAAATAAAAACGACTATTGTTTCTGTCATAAAAATGAATACAAAAGGTACTTTTGAGAGCTGTTTTTCAGGTCCTGTTTCGACCCGATCGTGCAATTTGTGTAAAAGTCGTCGTTGCGGGCAGCAAACAAAACATAAATAAACAGGACTCCCTATGCAGCATAGTATATTATAAAAACGAGTCCTGTTTATTATGTCACGATTTACTATGTTTTGTTTGCTGCCCCCAACGACGACTTTTACACAAATTGCACGTTCGGGTCGAAACAGGACCTGAAAAACAGCTTCCAAAAAGTACCTTTTGTATTCATTTCATGACAGAAACAATAGTCGTTTTTATTTCATCACACCTTAGGCTACATATACCCGAAAAATGACGGAAATGTCTTCGAGCATTCCACAACCTCTTTAAAAAGAAAACGACCATTGCGAGAGTAGGAATCAATGTGCTCCTACAGTTGTAATTGTAAGTGACACTGAAGCATCTTCAATTTGCGTCAATCTAAAACAACAAACAGGTTTGTGGAAACCATCGACATCAAGTTCCAAGACTCACCGGCTGACAGGAGTAGTGTCTTCCCCCTCCATCGATGGATCAAAGAAGGCGAGACTTTATGCGCCGTCAGGAATGATTCCACCTTACCCCAACAAGAGACCAATCGGAAGCAGAGACTTGATGAACTAGCCCGGAAGAAGGAGACTTATCAGTTGGAGAGGAAGTTCAACGGTGACTTGGCAATCGCACAGGTATACAACGACTCGATCGCCTTTCTTGAGCAAATGAGCTTGAGCAATTTGCTGGATACACATATCACATTTATCGAATCAATGTAGTTATTGTACTTCTATCTAACTATTAACGATGATTCATAAATACCTAAGACAGTTTACCCATTCCTATTGATCGAGAGCCTGTCACGTGGCCGGTCTTAAACGGATGATAAAGACACGGCTGGCAGTCTTGAAGACTTTTCCAGCGTCACATGAAATTTGGACTCCTATGAAATCTAGTGCCTTTTACCGGTTTATTGGTTGAACGTTAATAACGACCCTCACGTAGGCGCGCATGCGCAATGTACTACCAGTGAGTCAGTATTTCATAGTCCAAATTTCACAACGCACTCGCCACGCCTATTTACATAAAAGGAGTTGTTTACGTCTTACTCGCGAGCTGAACACTCCATTCTATAGCCGGAGGGCTGATTCGAAAAAACATGAAGCGAAATTTTTTAACAAAATCGTTCGACATGTACATTTTTGACTTGTTTTGACCTTTGGACCGAAACAGTTCTGATTTTTTGGCCTTCCGCTCGGGTAATTATCAGCTTTTAGACTCCAACCGGTATTAAACATAGTGTTTAACACCTCCCAAGCACACATTTTATTCCCTTATTAAAATGTGATTTTGAATAAAAGCAACATATAAACCTAAACTTAAATAAATAACTATTGACTTAAGTATGTTTGTGGCGCCAGCATGGCGTCTTTTCAGATCCCCACGCTCTAAAAACCTCTGGGTCAGATTGACCCGGAATCTTAATTCAAGTTTGGTCAGTCTATTTCCAGGTCAAAAATGACACTATTTCGGGTCGAAAATACCTTTTTTTGGTCGTTATGACCCAGAGTGTGATTTGTTTTTACCCTGAAAAGGATTGAGCAAATTTGGCTTCAGATATCGGGACATTCTGACTCAGGAGTTTTTAGAGGCATGGACGCATTTGCTCAAAAAGATGGCCGTCTACATTCCCCGATGAAAAGGGAATGGTTAAAAAGTAAAGACAACTTGACAAATTCCATTAGTTTTACTCAAACTTATTGAAAGTGTTAAAGTTTAAGTCAGATGAGAGCGTGTCTTGAAACATCTGGAGGGGCTCATTATGAATAATGGAAGGATTCAAACGGCAACAAGAAGAATGAACAATGGAAAATGAAGGAATAGCACAACGGGTGAAGCTTCTCTGCTAGGTTCTCTATCAAGATTTTAAGAAGCAAAAGTACTGGAAATAAATGAATGTTTCTTGGAAAACCAGAGAGCCTTCCGTAGAAGAGAAATAATCTTGCAACGACCAGCTGATTCCTGGAAAGTTACATCGTTCATGTAGTTAAGAGCCTTTTTATAACAGAAGGCTGACATAAACGAATAAAGATGAACATTTGAAAATGTCTTTTTCAAACTTGGAGGATTTTTAACCTTAAAGTTGATTGTTTCTTCACCACTGCGCAGGTTGTAAAGTTGCCGGACGAACAAGAGTTTTCGAACAAATATTTCGTAAGTCAGATTAGCTTTGTATTTGATCAGAAGTAAATCGCGCGAGTAAAATGCATGAAAATTGACGTCGCTGTGAGACAATTTGAAGTGAAAACCACATTATGCACTTATGTCATGGTAATTTATGTATTCCAACTCCTAACCACAGTTTGATGTTCTTGCTAAACGTGCCGTTATCTTCAAAATTGACAACATTGCAACCCACCTAACAACGGATAGATGGAAGTCGTTGGATGATATAATTAACGTGTACAACGACACCTTGCCCATACCATACGTAAGATTAACAGTATTTTTGAGAAAACAATTTTTTTTTAAAACAGTCATATCACGAAAGCAATAGAACAGAATAAAGCTGTTTCTTCATTTTCTTTTCTGGAATTTTGGAAAGTTATTATAACACTAGAGATTGTTCCAAGTATTGTGTTAAGATGGTAGTTTCGTTCCTAGATAGTTTCACTATGTTATAATCATTCCATTCTACTTCAAGATACAGTATTACAAAGATTGAAGGAATGTCCACTCGTTTTTTCGATTGAATTTGATTCGTTGAACCTTATTGTTATGAATGAGCACTTTCTTATGTTTTTGTTTAACAAAAATACTTGTTGCTTTCAGGGCGTTCAGAACTGGCGGAGTGACGAAGCGTTTGCCAGCCAAAGGTTGACCGGTTGCAACCCTTGTCAAATTCGCCTCTGTACGGATATCCCAGCAAAGTAGGCAGATTTTTAAAGATACTTCCGAGCCAAAGATACAATTCATAAAGTCCGAAGTTAATGTTGCTGAAGTATCGCAGAGTGTAACAGTGCACCTATACGATGCGGAAAATGATAACATAATTGTGTACGAAATAAAGAGTAAACATTTTTTTGCATATAAGGCATAAATTACGCAGCAATGGCAAATAAATGAAACTTTGAGACTCAAATGAGATGTATAAACATAGTGAGATTTATTGACAAGAAAGTAAGGCAACTGTATCCTTCCATTGTTTTAGCCATCAAACAACTCACTGAGGGTGGCAGTTAGGTGAATCAATGCAACTGTGGTTTCGTGATGTCGGCAACACTACAACTAGCAACTAGAATCTATAGGTAGCATGTTTTAAGTCATTCCATTTTGTTCTACACCATTCCCGTTTTGTAGCTTGGCAGTAACGGATGAGATGCTACAGCCACAGATTGAAGGTCTCAGCATCCAGGAAGCGATCCAAAGCAAGAGACTATTCATCGTGGACTACAGCGTCTTGAGAGACATCAAAACCACCGATAACAGAATTGTGAGGTTTGATGTCTTTGGAACAATGCATTTAACTAAGGAGACTTATTATTAAATTATTCGGACAATGAAAGAAAGTATGAAGAGAACTCTGTCAGTTTGTTTCACTTTTATTGAGTTTTTATATATTTTTTGTTAAGCGATTATTGTTACCATCAGGTGTGTGCACCAATTGCACTCTTTTTCGTCAACAAAGCCAAAACGCTGATGCCTGTTGCCATCCAACTCTTCCAAGAACCTTCAACAGACAACCCTGTAAGTTTCATAATGAAACAATATATCAGTTTAGACTCAAACCCATCATGGCCTCTACTTGTGACGTTATGTGTCACGGTTAGATTTAATTTTTAGAGAGAAGAGGAACAATGTTATAAGCTTTACAAATCCTTCATATTATGGTTTAGCATTTTCATAGCTGTTCTTATGGACTTTGAATTTGCCCTTCTACCTTTGCTCATCAGCATATTAGATTTTTTTCTCTTAACGAAATCTCACTTAGTGTTTTTTTATTGAAACAAACTTTTTGTTTCTATTTTGGACATTTTCAACTTACACAGAATGTTAAATTTGGGTTGTTTCTGCGCTAACGCACAAAAGATACGCGTGAACAACTGTCGGGCCGCAGATAATTCGAAACTTGTAGAATAAAAATTTTGTAAGTAAACGTCGGTTAATTTTTTTTGCGATGTCTCAGTCACCAGAGAATAACAATTGTATGGCTAGAAAAAAACACACACATTTATTTGCAACAAACTCTATTTTTCGGGGTTAAACTTAAAAAAAAGACGAGAGAGCAACGTTAAAGCATTGCCAAAGATGATTGATGTTAGGAAAATTGAAACAATTAGGCAGGCAATAAAGACCTAAACCACATTGTAACCTGCGCCTTAGAAGGTGAAGGCGAAGAGGTTAACTCTAAGCCAAGCCGCCCCTCCTGGTTCTCTCCATTTGTCAGGTATTTCTGCCAACTGACCCGGAGTACACGTGGATGTTAGCCAAGATGTGGTTCAACAACGCCGATGGCGCAGTGCATGAGTCAGTAGCTCATCTTGGCTTCACTCATCTGATCTGTGAGACAATGGCTGTTGCTGCTAATCGCTGCCTCTCCCCGTCTCATCCTATCTTCAAGCTTCTGGCACCTCACTTCCTCTATGTCATGGCTATCAACAGGTTTGCGATTATTCTATAAGCATGACACAGCAGAGATACCACAGATTGTAAATCACAAATAAGTTGAAAACGAAACATCAATATACATAAATCACTGTACAAAAGAACAGGACATGACAACTGAAAACCAGTCTTCCTTTAGTGATTACTGAAAGATCAAAGACGCTAAGTCTATATCAAAAGATTGTCAAAACTGAAGAGTTGAATACCTTATACTGGCAACATTTGTTTTTAGACTTTCAAAAATGACGTAAAAAAAAATAATTGTGGCAAGATTGGTTTGAGACTGATTAATTTCATTGAGATCTCCGGTTAAAACCTGTCATTTTATTTAGCCCTTTAAATCCTCTTAGTATGACAACTTGTATAGTGCAAGATTCTGATTTGAAACTGTGACTTATATTAGACCTACTGCGACAAAAACAATTAAGATGAACTGCAGTGAACACCACATACTAAAGTAATGTGTGATGAATTAGAATATCTTAAAGATTTCCTAAAAGTGCTTTTATTAATTAAATTAATTAAACAGTTTTGCCTTAGTGACACTGATCGACCCTGGCGGTCTTGTAGACCAGAATATCAACGCTGGCAGTCAAGGATTCGTCGAACTCATCCAAAGAGTTTTTCCCGAGTGGCGCCTTGACATTGAGGGCAGTCTTCTCGAAGATCTGCGCAACCGCGGGGTAGAGGACCCGGATGTGTTGCCTGGTTACCACTACAGGGATGACGCCATGTTGCTGCACGGCGCCATCAAGCGGTACGTGGATTTTGTGGTGAACAAACGATACGGTAAGTCTATTATTATTATGGATCTTCCCACATAGTACCATCGTGTCAGTTGGAAATAATTAACCCTACAGGAAAGTCTAAGAACAACAACCATATAGTTTACAATTGTCAAAATGGACAAACATTAGAACCACTCATCAGTTTCTGCACAAGCATAAACATTTTCCAACAAAATTACTGATGCATATCCTGGACAACTTGCGTTATTAAAAACAAGCTCAATCAGATTTTGGAAGCTGACGGCCAGCGAATGCGTGTTCACCATATTTTGACTTCGACCCCATAGCTGTAGATCAGATAAAGAAGTCACCATGGAAATGTTTTAATGTTTGGCAAAGGCCAACATGTTGACAGCGCTACTTTTGTCATTTGACCTTTTTAAAAATAATTTGACCTGTTTCGGCCTTTGACCCCAGAACTGTAGATCAGACGAAAAAGTCACCAAGGACATTTTTTAACATGTTGACAGCGCTACTTTTGTCATTTGAGCTTATTTGAGCTTATTTGAAATTTGACATTATTTTGACCTTAACCCATGGTGAACTTTGAACTCAGTTTAATCATGTGATATGTTGGGGCTGGCTACTGATACTTCTGACAAATTTTGGTTGGAATCAGTCAAAATATGTAGGAGCAATAGACAATGTGAACGTTTGTTACTAATACTGACTAGCTAACTAACCTACGAACTAACGGAGAGACATGAGTACTTGTAGAGCTGATATCCGCAGCTAAAAACCCACACATTTCTTTACTTATTTGAATATTATCTTTTTATTAAATAAAGCATAACACTTTTGATACTAATTTATCTTGTTATGTAGACACGCCTAAGCTTCTTAGTGGAGACAATGAAATACAAGAGTTCGCCCAAACCCTCGTTCAACCCATCGAAGACGGAGGTTGCGGAATAAAGGTATACTTCAACGATCTATGTCAACAGATAATCAATTCACTGCTTGTCAATATAACTGATCAGCCCTGCAAGTATACTCTATTTAGAACATTTTAACAGCATTTTCCATAGGAGATGAATTTTATGTGGATGCTGCACTTATCCCATGAAAACCACTGAATTATATTATGTAGTTTTGTGTATTGTTGTGCTGTGTAGTGTATTGTTGTGTTGTCTTGCGTTGTATTCTGTTCTGTTTTTTTATATTATGTTGTTTTGTCATCTGTTGTGTGGTGTTGTACCCTGCTCTGTTCTTTTGGTGTTTCGTTGTGTTGTGATCTGTTGTTTTCGGTTGTGTACTGTTGTGTTCTTTTGGCTTGTGTGTTGTGTTCTGTTATTTTCTGTTGTGCTCTCCAACTTTCTTGTGTTGTGTCCTAATGTGTTTTATTCTCTTTTGTTGTGTTTGCTGTGTTGTGTTGTATTGTATTTTGCGTTGTTGTGTTGTGTTCGGCTGTGATGTCTAACGATGTGTTGTGTTGTTGTCTTGAGCTGCGTTGCATTGTATTGTGTTGCGTTTGTGTTGTGTTCTTTGGTGTTGTGTTGTGTTGTGTTGTGTTGTGCTCTGTTCCGTTGTTTTGTTTTCTGAAGTGCTGTGCTGTGTTTAATACTGCTGTATATGTACACATGTACCTGTATTGTATTTCACTGTACATGTAGTAGATTGCATTGTATTCTGTTGTGTTCAGTAATGTTGTGTTGTGTTGTGTTCCGTTGTGTTAAGTTATTTTGAAGTGTCTGTTTAAACGTGTGCTTTCTTTTGGAAGCATGGTGGCTCTCTCCTATCCAAAACCCCTTTGAGAAAGCATACTTCTAAGCAACGCGTAACTTCATTATGTTTGATGCTCTTCTGAATCGTCTTTTGAAAGATTTTTGATTATGATTATATTATTTATACGACTTCAGCAGTGTAAATACAAAACAAATATATATCGAAGACTAATCAAAAAACGAGAAATACAGAAAATAACGTAGACAATGGCAACTTAACCAGCATGTCGGACAGCAGTATGTCTTCTTGAAAAAGACTGATTAAAGAATGTAAGAGTGGAACATGCACGTATGAGAAATCAAACTTTGGAAGGACACAATAAACCTGCCTTTTCACAATCAGAAATATATAAACATGTATCATATTGTTTGAAGGGAGTCGCAGGAAACGGCAAGTTTAGCACCAATGACCAGCTGATAGACGTCGCGACTTCGATCATCTTCATCGGTAGCGTTCAGCACGCCGCCGTCAATTTCAACCAATATGACGAGTATGCTTTCCCACCCAATTCGCCTCTGTGGATGAACGGAAAACCACCTAAAGATAAGGTTGGCCTCATTGTCATTGAGTTAAGGTGTGAAGTCAGGGCCAAATTCTGCAACCTGTTAAGTAGGAAGCATATATTGCTATTTAGGCATATTAGTATTCAATGAAAACATCGTCTCAGATCCATTTGCATGCGCAATGCACCACATCTTATTTTGGCTGTTGAATTTTTTTTGCTGACCCATACGTTCTCTTCTTTGCAATTCAAACAATTGGAAGCAGTTTAACATTGACTACCAGAACATGATTGGTTTTCTTGGTTTTTCCAGCATCAAGCCCTAACCGAGAAACAAGGCAGTTTAACGTTATTTGCTATAACATTCGAATCCTCCAAATCCATTTTTTCTGAAAATTGCAGCAAAATCAAATGTTGTACATTCCCTTTAAGTTAAGATTTAAACATTCTTTAAATGTAAATGATGACTCTTGTGTGAACGAATGCCTCGGTTTTCAATTGTGCATTTGTAGCACCTAAGGACAACGTATTCATACCTTATGCCCCAAACGGAATAGTTTATGTAGAATTGACTTCGTATATCTTACGTATTGCAGATATCTCGGAGAGACATTTTCTTTTATTTAGTAGCGAAAAGTGCGTAAAACCCAGCAGCGGCGATAACCTAGTCCATTCTTCCATTAACTGTCTTACTTTTATTGTAAAAGTATATTTTGTTTTTATGCCTTACAGACTCCACTCACCGAGCAGGATATCCTAGATAATCTGCCACATAAGGAGCGCACTTTAGAGATCATGTCGTTCGTAAAAATCCTCAGCGAGAGAGCGACACTGCGACTCGGTAACTTCGAGAAAACCTACCAGTCAGACCCAGTGGGCAAGGAGGCTGTAGACAGGTATGTTATATTTAAGTCCTGGTGCCAAATTTAAGTTTCCAGACTCATCGATTTATCTGGTTGATTTCACCCTCTGCCGCCGTGGAGGCCTTAACACGCCAGCCAGGGATGAGCAGAGTTGTGGTCGAGTCCTTTTTCCGAGTACCGTGTACTTAGGGTAGAGTACGAGTACGGGTACTTCCGAGTACAGGGACGGGTGTCCGAGTACGAGTATTTGTACTTCCGGTTACGAGTACGAGTTCTTGTATTCCGAGTACGGGTACCTCAGTTTCCGAATATGGCAATACGGCAAATGGTTCATTGTGCGTAATTGGCCCAGGCCCAGTCAGACCATTAAACAGACCCACACAAAGAAAAATCAGGAAACTTCGATTTCTCCCCAAACCAATCAACCATTTCAAACTGAAAGTATCAATGAAATAAGGCAGTGGTAATTAAGTCAAGCTATACCATTTTCTTTTCGAATACTGCTATTCGAGTACGAGTACTTTGATGATCGAGTACAATTTCGTCATGTCGAGTACCAGTACTTTGCAACCCGAGTACGAGTACCGTCATTTCGAGTACGTCTACTTTGACATTCGAGTACGAGTACGAGTAATAAAATAAAAAGTACTCGAGTAATACTCGAGTACGAGTAAACGAGTACTACAACATTGGGGATGAGACGGGGTATATCTGCGAAAACAAATCGAGATCCAGTCCTGGATCGACTAGTCCCTAATCCTGGCTCCAATTTACTCTAAACCTGTTTTGTATTCATTAGCGATGGTAATGTGGCAGTCTTGATCTTTTTTGTTTCAAGTTCCTAAAGTCGCGGCCATCCAATAAATAATAGACTTGCTTAACTTATGATCAGTTCGTTCTATACTAAATTGATGAGTATTTCTTAATTTTTTTATATTTTTTTTTGCAGATTTCAAAAAGACTTGCGTTCCATTGAGAAAACCATACAGTCACGTGATGCCAAGCGGAGAATTCGATACCCATATCTGAATCCGCAAGAAATTCCGAATGCTATCAGTATCTAACTTTGTGTGATAGCGTGACCGGCGTGAGTTGGTCAAAAGCAAACTGAAAGAGTTTTTAACACGTTACATAAATGTTTTCTCAATACAATTATATAATTATGCTCACGCCCATCACTAAACCAAACGCCACTCGAGGTGTGGGCTTCAGAGGAAAGTGTGGAAGGACCAGCTGCTCACAGTGAAACAAGACAAGATGATCCAATTTCTTCACAGTATGAATGGGCAATTTCAACGTTATGAAAGACAGTTTAATGTCCGCAACCATGAAAGCTAATTAACCATGAAATAGAATTAATGACTTAGCGAAATGATCCAAAACTGTAATCTCCTTGGTCATTAATAGATAATGGATGTAGAAGTTACATTGAAAATACACTTTGAGGTTTATTCACTGAGCTCTTCAAGGATCGATTACGGACATTACGCTTGAATTGCCCAAATCTTGCATTGCCGAAACGTTTTGCATGCTTTTATTTTGTAACTTTTAATTTAGCAACTGCAGTGTGATATTTAATTATGTTATTAAAAAGACGCAGTTTATTTCAATGTATCTCAACGTATTATAATCGTTTTACTCAAATAAAAGGATAAGTGCGTGTATAATAGCAGTCTTTACTTCCTAAAACCAATCTAGGATTATTTTATTTATATGGAATCCACAACTACAGAATAATAACTTGATTAACACCGAGGTACCAGCTTATAGGAAACAAACTGACCAATATTAATATTGGATTAAGTAATTTCCTACTACAGAGTTAAATAAGACACTGTAACTTCAATTTATATCAAAGTTTTGCATGTCCAAAAAACATAGTTTGATCATTGTTTTACTGACATATAAGTATGAGTGCATGTATATTAGCAGTTCTATCTAAGATCCGTCTGGATTTAGTATGGATCTACAGTTAGATAAATAATAACTTAATTAACAGCGAGGCACCAATCTAAGGAAACAATTGACCAATGTCAACATATTGGAATCTAAAAAATATTGCATTGAGCATACGTCTATTAAAGAGTTAAAACGTAAAGTTACTCTTGTCGCTGTTAAGTTTGTTTTACAATTTTTTTTAAACAAGTCCAAATGGAATTTGTGTTTTCTCAAAGGACCGCCATCTCGTGTATTAATGTTGAACAAACGGTGAAATTCATTTATTTGACCATCACCCGACAATAACAAAGAGCAATCGCAGGGGAAAATGAATGACGTCATTATGTTGCTTTGTTTAATCGACATTGTTTGTACGGTTCTGGTGGTTGAAATAAATATGGCAAACAGCATGATGGCTATAACTTCTTGGCTTCCGTTAATTCTTTTTGCGTTGTGGCTATCACTTCTTGGCTTCCGTTAATTCTTTTTGCGTTGTGGCTATCACTTCTTGGCTTCCGTTAATTCTTTTTGCGTTAATCTCTCACATGAGCTCTTGAAAAAAACCCCAATGTTTTGGAATTTCTGTTGGGTTCATATTATCAACTTTAAATAGTCTATTGTAAAATAAATATCACATACCCATTTTGGATAGTAAATTAAGGGAGAAAAAAACCCGAAAACGTATAATTTGTAATTTTTAAAAAAGTTCACATGCCTCTGTAGCAGTGAAGCCACACATCATAGAGTCGCCTCGTCGGCAGGCCTCGCAAATTAATTAAAACACGGATGACAATCTCCACAATTTCTCCACAATTTCTTCTTTCTTCTATTGTGCAGGGCCCTCACAATAGGTGTTTAAGGCTTAGTGATGATGCAGAAAAATGAGATTTTTTTAAGAACCCTGAAATTACAATTAGTAAACAACTTAACGAGCTAATGGAATTAATATTACACAATTTTCTATTACTAAAGTTTCCGTTTTAAGAATTAGATTTCAAAATAAAGCATCACAGATACATACCCCAGTATCAGGTACAAAAGAGGATATTTCTTGATTTGTTCACAGCTCAGTTCAAAACCAGTGATATAGGCCCATCAAAGGAAAACGTACATGTAGCCCGACAATGAGAAAGACATATACAATACGGTCTGCAGTTTTAGTCGAACTGACTAACGTGGTAGCTGTTTTTGCGTGCGCGTCCGAAATGTATAAATTGTGTGGCAAATGTGTACATTTCGTGAGGCTGAAGAAGTATGGAGCGCATATAATAATAAAACTAGTATGGAGCGCCTCGATATTTTTTGCTAATTCCCGACACCTCTATATATAAAAATATATTAATTTATGTGTATAACCTTGATTCGTGACCCATTTGACCCTGATTTTTGGTTCATTTAGCGGGATGTACCCTTTAATAATAATAATAATAATAACAATTTCTATAGCGCCAATCCATTTACAAAATGCTTCCTGGCGCTTTACAATCAAACTATTTATATAAATAAAAGGAATATAAATTAAACTTGAAAATGTGATTATTTAAAACTCAAAAATGGATAACTTAACACTATAGAAATTAAAAAGTCTGAACCACAAGTAGACACCCCCGGATACAGCAGACAACAACCCTCTCCCCATAATATACCTCAAAATTTCCCCCAAATCACTTTTACTGCGAAGAGGATTCAAAACTAATATTTCAACAACAAATTTGAAAGAAAAAAATATCTGAGGTCGATATCGGGCCTGAACGTGGGCAAACGTGAAATTCAAATGACAGTGGTAGAAAAAAGATTTGCACAATTCAGACAGTACTAACTTTTTACATAACAAAAACAAAACAACTTTTACTTTTTTTTTTTAGAGTTCAACTGAAAAGAAATAAGCCCAAACAAAATAAATTAGCCTTTGAGTAATTTGTGAGAGATGAACTTTAACATGAATTGAATGGGTTTTGGCAAACTGCCAAATAAAAGCAAGTTAAGCATTTAAAGCAAAAACACAACAAATAAATTTATACAAAAATTAACGAATGCTAAGTTAGATGGATTTGAATATTTCCTCGAATGTGAGCTGTGCCCAAGCCAGAAATCCCGAGTGATATAAATATAAAAGCAACAGGATACACGGAATTTAACAAACTGATGCTCCAACTCAAGTAAGAAAGAATGATTTGATGATGCAAACTCCAGTAAGCTAATATTATTGAAACTTACAGAAGGCTTGAGAGTGCCAGAATAGAAGAACACTAGGGAGCTACATGTACACAGATTCCATAGGACTGGTAAGTTCGGGGCGAGGCATTCATGCCTACCGTAATTGAACACAATGTCCAGTTAAACTTACAGAAGGCTTGAGAAGGCCAGACAAACTTGATTATTTGCTGATTTGACAAACGGAACGGACTACAATTATTGACAGGGTACGAGCTAGTGGGTGTGGTGGTGGTCGACGTTTGACGATTTAAGTAGCTTGGAATCTAAATGGCTGAGATGCACTTTAATGCCACAAGGTGCCAGGTTGTCCAAGTCACCTACAAGCGGAAGCCCTTCCCTGCCTCATACACCGTCCATGGTCATGTCTTGGGGGTCTCCACCTCTGCCAGATACATGTGAAGGAGTCCACATAGATTCTAGGCTGAGCTTCAACACTCATATCGACACCATCACCAGGAAAGCGACCAGCACCAAGGCCGCCTTCTCCTGTAATCTGAGCCACAGCAGCCAGAAAGTCAAAGAAGCTGTCTACACCACCTTCATTCGTCTATCCGTCGAATTTGCAGCAGCTTCATGGGATCCACATTCCCAACGGAACACATGTACATAGATTCCATAGGACTGGAAGGTTCGGGTTGAGGCATTCATGCCTACCGTAATTGAACACATTGCCCAGTTAAACTTACAGAAGGCTTGAGAAGGCCAGACAAACTTGATTATTTGCTGATTTGACAAACGGAACGGACTACAATTATTGACAGGGTACGAGCTAGTGGCTGTGGTGGTGGTCGACTTTTGACGATTTAAGTAGCTTGGAATCTAAATGGCAGAGATGCACTTTAATGCCACAAAGTGCCAGGTTGTCCAAGTCACCTACAAGCGGAAGCCCTTCCCTGCCTCATACACCGTCCGTGGTCATGTCTTGGGGGTCTCCACCTCTGCCAGATACATGCGTAGGAGTCCACATAGATTCTAGGCTGAGCTTCAACACTCATATCGACACCATCACCAGGAAAGCGACCTGCACCAAGGCCGCCTTCTCCTGTAATCTGAGCCACAGCAGCCAGAAAGTCAAAGAAGGCAGCACTTAGAAGGAAGGAGAAGAAGCTTCTTGTCAGGAAGAACTTGGCCTTCCACCAGTGCAGCATCGGCTTCGCTGTAGCTTCATGCAGACTACCACACTCCTCACTGTGTCAATGTGGCACGCTGCAAAAATTGGGCATTCTAATCCTTAAATACTCCACTTTTAACACAAAGGAAGCTATTTGAAGAATTTCGTTGAACACACATAAAAGAACACCAGGGAGATAGCGAATTGTCAGCAGATACTAACGCGCATGCCTACACACCTGCGCGCGTTGATGTGGAAAGTCAGCACTTTCATGGATAAAAAGCTTGATGTGGATACGTACTGTGTACATGGTATAAATATAGGAGCTCGTGCAGTTGGCATTGGCAGTTGGGGCACAACAAACTGGACGAAGCAGTTATCAACCGAACAGACTTGATTGCATGGAATAATCAGTGTATTTATCGAATCTGTAGCGGTAAGTCGAATTTTAGGTTTTGCTTTGATGTCAGTAGAGCAAGTTCACATATAAAGCAAGCCTACCTGATGTGATTAGTGGTATTTTGTTTCCTTGAAAAATTTTACAAAAGCAAAAAGGGGAGACACACGTTCCCAACTAAATACTGAAGTTGATACAACAATCCCAAATTTTCGGTGTCCCTATAACAAATTAGAAAATTACATTGAGTCATGGTATGACGGTTATCGGTGGTAAATGAACTGACACATTCCATTTGTTGAAGTCTTCAATATCCTAAACTACAGCTATTATTTCGCTTCTACCCCTGTCTATCGCGATCTAATACTCTCTTTCACTATCCATGTATTTTTGTGGTAAGGACCAAAAATATGTAATTTGTTTTGAAAACAGGCATCGGTTACAAGCCTAAATACTAAAATATCGATCGAATACAATCTGGTGTCCATATGGGTCATTCTATAAATTTGGATCACAAACGTGTGACATTTTGACGTCCCTCTTACACCCAACCTGTGTGTAATTTAACATGAAAATATCATTGAAATTAACTTCAAACTACACTCAACCAAAAAAGAAAGTCCCCCTTTATACTTTTTTGTCTTCCTCAAAAACCTGGGCAAATCTTGCTCAAATTACGACTGATCAGTACAGAAATTCCTTAGCAACACTGCCATACACTTTGTTTGGCCGAAAACAGTGATAAGGTGTACAAAATTATAATTATAATAATAAAAACCATTCTTATATAGCGCATATCACTGTGAAGTCCCTATGCGCTCTCATGAAATCAACAATTATACAAATTGAACGGATATGTTTTGACCCGGGTTTTGAATTGTTCGATGTTTCGGCCTGTTTGACCATATCTGGTAAGTTGTTCCATAGCTGAACTGCAGCTGATTGGAAGGAGCGGGAACCATATGACTTAGTTTTAATGACTGGGGCTGACAACAGAGAATTATGGAAAGAACGCAGATTTCTAGCTGGTTTGTACTTCTGAACTAAACTTTGAAGATAAACAGGGGCAATACCATGGATACATTGATATGTGAGAACCAAAACTTTCAAATCTATTCTTGCCCGTATCGGCAACCAGTGCAAATCATGGAGAATAGATGTGATGGATTCACGTGTGCGAGTCCTGGTGACAAGTCTAGCTGCAGAAATTTGTATACATTGCAATTTACTAATTTGAGTATCAGGCAGTCCATACAGTAAGCTGTTACATGTATCTATACGACACATAACCAAAGAATGAACCAATTTTTCTGTAGATTTTTTATCCAAATATTGTATAATGGTACCAATTTTATGAAGGGCAAATGAAGCAGCACGACACACATTACTGATAAGATTATTCATAGAAAGATGAGCATCAAATACAACTCCAAGGTCGCAAGCACTAGAAACTAGACATATTGAAGTATTATCTAATGTGATACATGTGATAGGATTACAAGATCTATGGCGACTAGAAAACTGAATAATCTCAGTTTTTATTGTAAATTATGAAATTTAAGACAAAAATCGTACCGAAAAAAGTTGCACTTTTGTATACGAGCCAGGTGAGTGTGAACCACAACATGCACGTGTACAAAAGTGAAGGTGTTTTCGGTATCATTTGTCATAAATTGTATAAATTCGTACACATTATCAACATTTTGGGCAAATATAGAGTATGGCTGGAGTGCTAAGGAATTTGAGCGAGAGGTGCTAATTTTGAGTTAGACAAAATTAGACCAAAGTTAGACCAAACTATTGGAAGAGGGGACTTTCGTTTTTGGTTGAGTGTATTTTAAATTGTTTATCACTCTTGGAGATAGAAGGCATGAAAAGCTGTGCTCTGAATTTTCAAAACTCGATGTCAGATGTAGCAGGGACACCAAACGAGATTGGACCTCGCTTTTATACAATGACCCATACACGATGTACGACTCAACCATTTAAATGCACGCACTATGCGTGTTGTTTACTGTTGCCATGACACTACCCTCCGACACAATTACCCACTATCACCATTGACTGCGAGTATTCATTGAGGTCAATTTCTGTAAGAGCGATGAGCAGGACGTTCCAGCATATAGTGCTGTCCATTGTCAATACAACTGTAGTTGCTGCACTATTTGCTTTGTATAATATATTTTACGGTGCCTAGATATGATCGGGGCGGTTCTACGGGGGCGGGGGGGGGGGGTGCATAGCCGCCCCAACATTTTGTCTAGCCCCAAAATGCCATAACAAAATTGCAGTAGCCAATTGTAAAAGTGGACGGTCTACATTTCACCCCTGCTAGCCCCCTAAAATATAGGCTCTAGAACCGCGCCTGGATATGATCCGGGTTGATGTGTATAATTGCTAAAAGGTTGAAATCTGGATTTCCAGAAGTATTCATTGGTAGAAAAAAGGAGGGAGAATCTCAGTAAAGATGACGCACAGTCAAAGCGTTGTTAATGCTACTCATGTTAATGACATTAAAAAATGTAGGAATTTTGTTGTTTTGTTTCTGGAAGAATTGGACATGGACCTCATTTTCAGAAATGCCTTACTATTTTAGTGCTTTCATTTGTTTACACAAAAACTTCTCGTTTGATTTTTAATTTGCCGTGCTGATTTTTAAAATTAAATATACGGTGGCGATTACCAATTTCAGCTAAAAGTGCAATGTAATATAGTCCTTTTTATTTTATTTTCAGTTGTCATTTTTTTTTTTAAGTCTTATTATTTATCTTTATATTTATTATCTATATTGTAAAGCTAAAATGTTAAATTATTTTGTATTGTTTCGTCTTAAAATTCGCATTATACAAAAAAAATCAGTGGATATCCCTCTGTTAAAGAATATGTTTGATCATTATTTCGTCTGTTATTGAATTACTGACCTGTGCAAACGAATGCATGATAAAATGACAATCATAAATAACGAAATCAAATGAAATTTACCCAGTCATATACGTCTCAGAATGTATTCGAAAGGAATGTATTTTCCAAGCAAAATTATTTCCTGTGGTGAGTGAGATGGTCATATTCCGATGTGTAGCCTACTCCGTAAATATCAAGGTGAACAATGTGGTTCTCGATTGAATGGACAATGACATGCGGTTTCACAAATTAAAGTTGATTTTGTTTTGTGGTTGGTGTTAAAACTCCTCATATCAATCCTGTCAAATGATTGAGGACAAAATGTACCGTGCATGTGATAAATGGAACAAAAGATGTGCACCCATCCGACTGGTTAGCAATAACTTCATGGTTAACAACAACAACATTGTTGTGAGACACAAGCACAGGACAGGCAAAGTTGAATAGATTGTACCTATCCACACTTTTTCACAAATGTAGTAAATCAGGGATCTTATTTGCATAAACTAAAAATGGTCTCGGCTTCGACTCGTCCATGCTTAGCACAAATCTACAGTTCCTCGTGGTTCGGCATAGCCCCAATATTCCAAAGGACTGTGCAATTTGTGGTACAAGCATGAAATTTCGCATGTTGGTTCTTCATGCCATGAAAAAAATGTTCAGATATAGAGGCATTTCATATTTAACCTCTGGTGACCTTTTAGAGGTCAATGAACTTTGCACACTCTATTTATAACTTTTGTTCTTCAATACTTAACTTTCCTATGACCCGAGTCTGCGTCATAGGTGTTCATGCAAAAAAAATAATGATCATGTGGGAACAATTCATATCTGACTTCTGGTGCCCTTTTAGAGGTCAATGACCCTGGTAAACCTGCTTGTAGCTATTTGTAAGATTTATGCTTTAAACCCAATCTTTTTTCACGATTCATGTCTAAATGAAAGGTGTTCACGACCTTTTGTAAAACATTACCTAGCCTACCTATTGCTATCAATAAGATTTACACAATTGCAAATGCCACTTTTTTTGTCAGGACCCAAGTCTAAAACTTAACTGTTTGTGCCATGAAAAGAATATTCAGATGAAAGGACATCATATATTTTGACGTATTTTTTTTGTATATCTGATTTGCCGTTATTTATTATATGTATTCGTCAAAACGGCATTTTGTCGTGACCCGAGCCTCAATAGTGCCGAAGAACGGTATTGCACCCATTAGTTTACAGTCATGTTACGAATACAGACCCCACAATTAATTTTCAGGTGATCTCTGACCTCGTTTCTCCTTGTTTTATTGGCTTACACAATTTGATGAGATTGGAATAGAGATATGTGGGTCTGTTTTGTTAAAGAAAATGTACATATGTCAAGCAATTGTTCACTCTTGTGTACTTATTACACCTTGTTGTATCCAGATGGACTTGGATAACCACGTTTGTAACCTCTTTACCTAGCCCAATGGTCACTGTTAGAGAGTGATGCTTGTCCCATATGTGTCTCTTATATTCTGTTGCGCCTGCATCTGCCCTTTTAAAAGGGAAAATCGAGATCAGAGGTCATGCCAAAAAACCCCAATCTTTGGGGTCTGACTTCTTGACATGTTGTGGAATAATTAATGCACTCCTTTTGTAAAAAATAGACTGCAGTCATAAAAAGTGGCAATTGGAAGATTAAACATGATAAATAACGTCAATCAGAGTATACAAAGTTCATTGCCTCGCAAAGGACATATCACAGGTCATATATGACATGTCTACATATCTGAAAATTCATATAAATGCAAGAATACCCCAAGTTTAGATATGGGTAATAAACAAGTCTTGTTTGAATAGTTAATCCTCTTATTATATATAAGTAGGATACGCGAAGTTCATTGACCCCTTGAAGGCCATCAAAGGACAGAAATGAAATTCCCTATATTTGAAATTATTTTCATAGCATGAGCCAATTATCATTATGACTCGGGTCTTGAAAAATTGGGGTTTAAAGGTCTAACCGTACAAAAATTTATAAATAGACTATACGGCAGTTAATACAAAGGTCATTGACCTCTAGATGGCCATCAGAGGTTAGCCATTGTTACATTTTTCTGCATTTGGTCTATATTAACATTGTATGAAGACTATACATAGACTAAGCTTCTTAGGAAAGAGATGTTTTCAAGAACAATAGAGTTTCCATAGGAGTATTTAAATGTCATGACCCCTTAAAGGTCACTAGGGCTCCGATGTGAAATGCCTACATATCTGATTTTTTTGGTCATGGTTTGAAGACCTCACATGCCAAGTTTCATGCTTTTATCACAAAATTCACAATTCTGTCCCTATGCCGCACCACTATTATAACAAGATCACTTGTTATTGCAGTACTGTGAGTGGATGCCTGCAGAGAGTCATGGGTAATGGCTGCGTTCGAGTCAGTCCCGATGGATATACTATTCACATCAAGACGGGAGACCACAAGGTACGTCTTTAAAATCCGTCAGCGTCTGCTTTCCCGTTTCTCAAATGAACGTCTGTGATGGATAACAACAACCTTTATGCCAAATGAAATCATTCGTTGCTTTACGACATGCCGTTAATCCTCTCCTTAAAAGAAAACCCGACCAGCTGCCTTTAATTTGGATATTTCATCAAGACTTAACCAGATATCTCTCTTATCTTTAGATTTTATCTCCTTAGTACCGCTTGACTTAACAACTTGTGTAATATGCCTGAATCATTCTTCAGTGGCCTAAAAGCACCTAGAATTTTACAAAATAGTAAAGGCCTCCGCGGTTTTATGTTCCAACGAAGTGACTAAAACTGTTCACAAAGAAATTGGGCAAAATATGCGAAAGAATGAACTTCTGCTTCCTTGACCATGGAAGAAGAAGTTCATTTGCAGTCACTCTTTATTGCTATTTCATACCAGTATGAAATAGCAATAAAGAGTGACCGCAAATAGTGACTAATGAGATGGCCATTTTACTTATTATTTTCTGTTCTACAAGAAACTTCTAGATTGTATTTAAAATGACAAAAAACTTGTTTGAAACTATTGGTCTTTAATCATCACTGTCTTTAACGTTTTCTTCGTCTTCATCTTGTTGGAACAGACCGTCAAAAGTGTTACAGTGTTTAGGAACTGCTCTGTTCAGGCTCTTTTCACTTCCCTGCCCATTTTCAATTTGTCTTCGACATCTTCCACATTTGTTTGATGAGTGCCATTTTCTTTCAGATGAAGGTAACGTGACAAAAAATCCTTTTATTTGATGAAAGAGATTCGCAATGCCCAAAGGGTCTTCATGTTGGAATTTTCCTTGGCCTGATCTTTACTCATATCCCCATTAATGTACTTTTCATATTTTGCACTCCACATCTCATCAATGGCTTTTAGGGACTCTTTCAACCAGTCTTGATATGCAATGTTGTCTTTCAAATCAGAACAAAACTCATCTTTATCAGATAATTCGTCATCGCCCACTTCCATTAAGAATTCTGAATCATTTTCCTCACGATCTTTGTTTTCACCATACAAATAGATTCAGTTTCATAAATTTCCACATTAGGATCTTTAAATCTACGGCTTTTTTAATATCAAGTTCAGAATGTTCCACCTCAACTTAATCTATTTTAGATTCCTCTACAGCATGCACATTTTTTTTGCATGCCTCCGTGGGTTATATCTCCGTCCTAAGCTTTTGTCACACATGTGACAAAAACATAGGAATCGACAACAGAAATAACATTCATTTTGAAGCCCTGAAGGTTAACCTTTGAATGGTGAGAGATGGAAAAAATCGTTAGATAGTACTACTCATGAGTCACTGCTCATTGCTAATTTTCATTGCTAATTTACTCATGAGTCTTTGCTCATCTGCTTATTTGCTCATTTTCAGTGCTTATTTACTCATGAGTCACTGCTCATTCGCTCATTTTCACTACTCATTTGCTCATTTTCACTACTCATTAACTCATGAGTCATGGCTCAACTGCTCATTTTCACTGCTTATTTACTCATGAGTCACTGCGCATCTGCTCACTTTCACTGCTCGTTTACTCAGGAGTCACTGCTCATTTGCTAGTTTTCACTGCTCATCTGCTCATCTGATATATATTTTGTATGTCATGCCTTTGGATCCCTTTCAGGGCTCAGGAACGGATTCCACGGTCAATCTGAGCATGTATAACTCATCCGGCTCATCACCTGAAGTTAAGATCAACTGTAACTGGAAGGATGACTTCGAGAAGGGAAGTATAGACACATTTCACCTGAAGAGCGCGGGCATCACTGAAGCGGTAGAAGGCATCGAAATCAGGCTGTCCGAAGGAGCCTTCAGTCAGAATTGGTGAGTGCAACGAGCAGACAAATTAGTAAGGGACACGATTGCATTTTACCCACACTGAACAAAATTATATATTTGTAACCATTCCCGGTTGAACTAGATGCAAACGATAACACTATTTTGGAAAAATGTTTTGTTTTTTACAAGCTTCACCGAAATTGGAAAAAGTGCACTTTTTCACCATAGTCCTTTTTTGACATACTGTGTTGCTGTAGTGTCATTGGTAGCACCAACTTTACAAGACACGGATTCTTGGTGCAATATATACAATATATAAATTAAAAAACAGAAGCTCCCCAAATGTTTGCACATTTACTCATAACCGTGGGTTTTCTCTGCATCCATTACAATTACATTTGCGAGAGAAGGAATCTGAGTGCTTCTTCAGTTGTAAAATGTAAGTAACACTGAAGCACCTTCAATTTGCTTGAATCAAACAGGTTTGTGGAAACCATTGACATCAAGTTCCAAGACTTACCGAGTGACAGGAGTAGTGTCTTCCCCCTCCATCGATGGATCAAAGAAGGTGAGACTTTCTGCGCCGTCAGGAATGATTCCACCTTACCTCAACAAGAGACCAATCGGAAGCAGAGACTTGATGAACTAGCCAGGAAGAAGGAGACTTATCAGCTGGAGAGGAAGAGCAACGGTGACTTGGCAATCGCTCAGGTACACAGTGACTCCCTATTGTCCCTTCTTGGGCGAATGAGGTCGCAGCTGCAACGCAATTTGATGGGTACAAGCAGTAAAATATCACTTTTATGGAAGCAAGCTACTTCTATTTTATAATTAACAATGATTATCATGTGATGTTGAATAACTGCAACGTTAAAACTTAAACAATAACATTGACTTAAGAATGTTTATGGCTCCAAAGTGGCGTCGTTTTAGAACCCCATGTCCGCATTTGCTCAAACATAATTATGGTGGCCTACTTTCCCCGGTGAACATGGGCGTCGCGAGGGTGGGGGGGGGGGGGGAAGGGGAGCTTCTCCCTAAAAGGAAAAGTGGGAACAAATAAAATGAAAGACGAGGGGAAAATTCATATTGCTGTTAATGTAATGCAATGCACATTTAACAACATGGCTATCCCATGTCCGCATTTGCTCAAACATAATTATGGTGGCCTACTTTCCCCGGTGAACATGGGCGTCGCGAGGGTGGGGGGGGGAAGGGGAGCTTCTCCCTAAAAGGAAAAGTGGGAACAAATAAAATGAAAGACGAGGGGAAAATTCATATTGCTGTTAATGTAATGCAATGCACATTTAACAACATGGCTATCCGCCAGGAGCAGTAGGCAAATGTCCCCACCCATTCTCGAAAATATGATAAAATGTGAATATGCTACAGACAGTACAAGAATGTTGGGAAATAATGTGCTTTGCCCCCTTCACCCTCTAGAAAAAAAAATCCTAGACGACTAGCTTGACAAATGTCAAGGGTTTACATTAGTTGTACTCAAACATTTCGAAAGAGGAAACAGTTTTAGTCAAACGAAAGCGTGTCTCTACTCTAGCATTGCCTGAAGGAGCTCATTATGAATAACGGAAGGAATACAACCGGCATGAACTGGGCATGAACTGAGCATACAATCAGACACAAAACACTGAAATAAAACGACAAAAAAACGAAGAAAATGTCCGGAACAAAAGCAAATGGGAAAGCAAACCTATAAAACGGAAAATTAAGGAACATCACAGTTGGGTCAAGCTTTTCAACTACTTTCTCCATTAAGATTTAAAGTAGCAAATTACTGGGGAAAAGGTGGAATTTTTCTTTGAAAACTATAGAGCCTTTCGTAGAAGGATATACACTTGCAACAAATATCTGATTTCATTTCTCGAAAGGTACATCGAATATGTAGTTAAGGGCCCTTTTTGTAACGCAAGGTTTCCTTCTATTGACATAAAAGTCAATCTGCAAGAATCAAACAAAATGGAGTTGTTTTTTAACTTGATGTATTTGTATTTTTTTCCCCCAACAATGCGCAGGTTGCAAAGTTGCCGGACGACCAGGAATTTTCGAACAAATATTTCGTAAGTCACAATAGGTTTGTTTTTGAATAGAAGTAAAACGCGCGAGTAAAAATGTGAAAATCACAACATAAACAATTTCGTTATATGTTATGTTATGATTATATTTGTGTAATTATGTGTAATGTTAAGTCTAATTCTTAACCGCAGTTTGATGTTCTTGCTAAACGAGGCATTATCTACAAGATTGACACCATTGCAACCCAGTTAACAACGGATAGGTGGAATTCTTTGGATGACATATTTAACGTGTACAACGACAACTTGCCCATACCATACGTAAGACCACAGTTTTTGGTTCTTCAAGAAACAAAAAAGGGTCTTCATGCTTGCAAGGCTCCATCATTTAAAACAGACGTATTACGAGAATTCAGAACAGAATTAACTGCCTCTTTGTTCTCTCTTCTTGAATTTTCGAATGGTGTTGTAAAACACTAAAGTTTGTTCCGAGTATTGTTTAAAGAGGGGAGTTCCGTTCCTGTATGGATACATCCGGCGACAGCTTCTTTCTGTGGTGGCGCAAGGCTCGCGCGAGTCGCGCTCATACTAAAATGCGCGTGCGCCTCGTCTTAAAGAACGCGTGCAGCAAGCGCGTGAATTTCTTATTATGGCCGGCGGAGTTCACTGTATCTTCAGTATACAAATATAACATGGTTTGAGGGTGGACAGTCGATATTCGCTCCCCGAGGTATTGGAAGTTGAAAAACTAGTTCCCGAGGCGAAGCCGAGGGAACTAGTTTGTCAATTTCCAATACCGAGGGAAGCTAAAATCGACTGTCCACCGGAATAAACCATGTCATATTTGTTTTACTATACCTCATACATATTCAGTTGCCGATTTGTTTCATATATGCACCTAAAACAAAATTCGGGGAAATTTGTACAACTCACCAAAAGAATATTTTTGTTGCTCAACTTCAATTACTAGTTCGGTTCGTTTGCAATATAATATAGTTACTGCAGTTGTTTGTGTACAACTTTCTTTTGTACATTTTCTCCAGTACGGCATCATTGAGCTCTGGAAATTAACATTTTCGCGAACCGTGCAACCATGCATCTCTCATGGTGAATGATCGTGCATGCGTACTGCACCCGTGCTACAGTTCCTCGATTGCTCTGTAAAGCGCATGCGTAGTAGACTGTCGCACGGGTATCCATGCGACAGTCTACTACGCATGCGTATTTACCCTGTGCGTGAATCCTCGCGCGCGCGTTTGGTAAACAGCAAGAATAACATCTGACACCTGATGGTGAATTGACAAGTAAGAGTTCGGCTCTCGATCATGAATGTGTATGAGGTATAGTAATAGGTTTTATAATCATGCCACTAAACCTCTAATAAATACAGTATTACACATTTTGAAGGGATATTAGCTACGTTACGATGGAATTGTATCGATTGAACCTTATTGTTATTCATGAGTACTTTCCGGTTGTTTGTTTAATTAACAAATTACTCGATGTTTCCAGGGCGTTAAGAACTAGCGGAGTGACGAAGCGTTTGCCAGCCAAAGGTTGACCGGTTGCAACCCTTGTCAAATTCGCCTCTGTACGGATATCCCAGCAAAGTAGGCAGAGTTTTAAAGATATTTACGATCCAAACTTGAACTTCTCTAGAAACAATATATAAAGTAAAATGATGCTGAAGTATCATGAACGATACCAGCGTATAGCTTGTAATGCGGCACATAATATAAGCGTTTTGAACGAGATAAAGCATTTTTGTCCTTGAGGCAAAGCCTGAGGAGTAAGGGCAATTTAACGGAAGTTTGACACCACAAGAGTGGCGGGTTTTATTGACAAGAATATTAGAGAATAACTTCATCATTTCAGTTGTTTTATACATCAAACATTGACAAAATTTACTCTGTGTGCCACTTTGCTAAATCTACCACGATGGCATTGCGATGTCTGTGGTACTATACATGTATATCATCGTATATACATAAATGTAATGGTTTATTCATTCTTGGTTTGTTCTTCTTTTTTCTTGTTTGGTAGCTTGGCAGTGACGGATGAGATGCTACAGCCAATCATTGAAGGTCTCAACATCCAGGAAGCAATCCGAAGCAAGAGATTATTCATCGTGGACTACAGCGTGCTGAAGGACATCAAAACTACTGACAACAGAATCGTATGATTTGATGTCTTTTGAACAAAGCATAGAACACTTATGCGCATATCAAATGCCCCCCCACCCTCGCGCTGCACCAGGTCCGATGGCGGGATTTGGTAACGTTTTTCATGCCCCAGGGTTGGGAATTTGGTCACTCGAAAACATTGTTGTCATTGGCGTACTACATGGAGAGGCAATCACTAGTGTGCCCCACTTATGTGTGTCGGAGACGTTCACTCATTTCAATTTCGCCCGAGGGATGGGGTTTTGTCACTTACAATCCCACGTCATGGGTGGGGAAGCCCGGGGTGGGCTTCAATTGATATGCGCATTACTGATTAATTATTAGAACAATGAAAGAAGGTATACAGATACGTTTGTTATGCTGTTTTTTATTTTTTATCAAAAACTAAGAAAGTATGCTCATTGTTTAACCCAATTGTTATTATCATAAGGTGTGTGCACCAATTGCCCTCCTTTTCGTCAACAAAGCCAAAACTCTGATGCCTGTTGCCATCCAACTCTACCAAGATCCTTCAGAAGAAAACCCGGTAAGTTTTAGTTCAGACTCAAACCTATCATTGCCTGCATTTGTAACAAATTCTCAGTTTGCATTTTTTATTTAAAAAAAACCTTGCTTTTTCTCTGTTTGACGTTTTCAACGGTCAGAAATGTTTTATTTTGGGCTGCTTTTGCGCCACTAATGTATAAAAGGGACACAAGAAGTGTTGTCGGGCTGCAGATAATTCCAAATAATTGCAAATAAAACCTGGGCTTTTAAACCATACCAGGATTTCGATGTTTATCTTTCACTGAGTCCAGTGTATCATTATCTGGTTAATCTCTTAAGGCAATTATAGTTTTTACCACAGGAGGCCAGTCAAAATGGTACTGTTAGTTATTTCCTGCTGGAATTACCTTTAGGAAGTCCCATACATGTAACAGGCACAGTTCGACAAATAATGATTTACGTTGTTTGTGCATAAATTTCATTTATCAAAAAAGAAAAGAAAACGTGGTTTCATTACTGGACAAAAAAAACGAATAATACGTTGGATATTTAATTCGTGAAAAAAACAAAGTGGGTTAAGGCCACTGAGGATCAATTCAGGTGTGACAGGTAATTCTGTCCCCCCTGGTAAATGTGTCCCCCCGGACACATTTACCGGATCGTGACCCGGTAAATGTGTCCGGGGGACACTTATACCTAGGTAAATTTGTCCCCCTCCAGGTAAAAATGTCCCCCTGCCCAACGGTGAAAGTGTCCCCCTGGTAAATGTGTCCCCATACAGTATGCAATGAGAGCAGCAGCGTGTTGCATGCACGCGCCAGTACATGCTGCAAGATTTGAGGCAGTGATTATACATGTAACATGTGTGTGTGTATATATATGCGTCTCCCTCTACAATGGAAATTCGTCCAATAGGAAATGTCGTTACGCGCTATGATGGGAACACAGACCAATCCAAGGAGACGTTGTATCATACTATCAATGCGACGAGGGCCATCGCCATGCATCGCCGCTGTGTTGGCCTATCGCGGTAGAATCGCGATAGACTTCACCGTACTCCGAATCTAAACATTGTGTTCACGTATCATCTAATAGACTAAATTAAATATTTTTTATATTCATGAAGGGCAGACTAAAAGTCCAAAATGTATACCTTGTAGAGTGAATTCATCAAAACAATAACCTTCTGGGTTTCAACATGGAGAAATAAAACGAGGGGGACAAAAAAACCTGGGGGACAGAATTACCTGGAGGGGACAGAATTACCTGGAGGGGGACAGAATTAACGGGCCAGGGAGGACACTTTGACCTAGGTAATTCTGTCCCCACGGACAGTTTTACCGGGGGACAGAATTACCTGCCACACAGGCATGCCGGCCAGTCGTTCAGTCAAGCGATACTAATCAGTCATTACTGGTGGTAGGCATTTATCTGGTGCTAAAACTGCCCTAAGGAGATAAACTCTGGAGATAAGAGAGGTCGCTTAGCCTGGTACGAAAACCCGAATATAATGGGTCAGGTTGGGTTTTACCTTTAAAGAGGACAGGAAATTATGAACGTTGTTCAGAAAATTATGTGGGGAATAAGACCTAAGCCACATGCTAATCAAACCTTGCAATATAAGTAGAAAGCAAAGAGACTATCACTATGCCAATCCGTCTAGCACGCATCTCCATTTGTCAGGTATTTCTACCAACTGACCCGGAGTACACGTGGATGTTAGCCAAGATGTGGTTCAACAACGCCGATGGCGCAGTGCATGAGTCAGTAGCTCATCTTGGCTTCACTCATCTGATCTGTGAGACAATGGCTGTTGCTGCCAATCGCTGCCTCTCCCCGTCTCATCCTATCTTCAAGATTTTGGCACCTCACTTCCTCTATGTCATGGCTATCAACAGGTTTGCCATTATTCTAAAAAACACAACAGCAGAGATATCACATATTTTATGTCACAAATAAGTTAACCTGGAAACATCACTTATAAACACATCACTGTGCAAAAGAACAGGACATGGTAGGTCAAAAACAGTCTTCCCTTAGTGTTTATTGAAAGATCTAAGACGATAAGTCTACAATCCAAAGGATTTAAAAAATGAACACCTTAGTGATCGTGTTCCCTGATGAGTGCCATAATGAGCAACTTGATGAGCGATCAAATGATGAGCGATCAAATTGTTTTCACACACGCGCATGTGCCACATTGCCGCGCAATATAGTTGTTGCAACAAATTCAATAAAGTGTAAATATGCCTTGTAAACTGTTGAATGGGATGGTGCCGGATATGATGCATTCCAAGCCTCACTTCTGATTTGTTTTAAAGTGTGGCTAAAACGCTAGGGTATGTTCAATCACATTTGTTTTATTATTCATCAGGGCACACTAGTATTATTGGTTATTTATCTATATAATATTTCATTACTTTCATTGCTATTCGCAGGTTTCAAAAAAGAAGATTTTACCTCGCTTTCAATTTAATATGGCCGACTTGTGAATAAGGCCAATAGTACACGATTCGAATTATAAACGGTGACGGATATTCCCGTGACCAAAATAGTTCAAAATGACTATGAACTGCAGTGAAACATGCAAACCAAAGTAGTGTGTGCTGAATTTAAATATCTATTAAATCAATTAAATCAATTAAATAGTTTTTCCTTTGTGGCACTGATCAACCCTGGCGGTGTTGTGGACGAGATAACCAACGCTGGCAGTCAAGGATTCGTCAAACTCATACAAAGAGTTTTTCCTAAGTGGCGCCTTGACGTTGAGGGAAATTTTCCCGAAGATATGCGCAACCGCGGGGTAGAGGACCCGGATGTGTTGCCCGGTTACCACTACAGGGATGACGCCATGTTGCTGCATGGCGCCATCAAGCGGTACGTGGAATTTGTGGCCAACAAACGATACGGTTAGTTTATCACTTGTATTCATCTTTCCACATGATGGACCTTTGTACTAATACATTTTTAACTACGCATGCATGGGCATGATTGGGCCTGGTAGCAAGAAGTGAAAGCGGTCCATTTAAAATTTTACAGGGGTCCAAATATGTCGGGTAATTTTCTCTCAATTTGTCCACGTTTGTCGCTTTTTCTTTTAAAAAAGTCCCTCAAATCGCCTTAGGCACTACTTTCTTATGTGCATGCTTGAATTAGTATGAATTTAATATTAAAAGATCCTACGCTGTCTGTCTGTCTGGTGTACGTCGGGCTGTCTGATGTCTGTCTGTCACTTGTTTGTGTTAAAGGTTTAGCAGTGTATGCAGTTCATTAAAATAATGGCAAACATTATATGCTCCGACTCACTGTCCTTTGAAGTCACGGTTGGCACCTTAACAAAAAAGATTTTTTTTGTTTTTGTTTTTGTTTTGGCAAATTTGTTTCTTTCAGATTTTGAATAGTTAAATATTGCAACATCACCCTATTGCAAAAACGTATCCCTGTTACGCAAAATTTAACGTTGATGATGAAAAATGTGGCAAATTTGCTTCACATATCAGTCTAAGTACAACAACCATATAGTTCACAGTTGCCCAAATGGACAAACATTGGAACCACTCGGTTCCTGCACACAAACCATCAACATTTTCCAACAAAATGGCTGATGCATATCCTCGATATGACAGCAAGCGATGTTTAAAAACAACACGTTTCTTTACTTATTTGAATATTATCTTTTCATTAAAGCATGTTTATCTTGTTATGTAGACAAGCCGGAGCTTCTTAGTGGAGACAATGAAATACAAGAGTTCGCCCAAACCCTCGTTCAACCCATAGAAGACGGAGGTTGCGGAATAAAGGTACTTCAAGTATCCATGTCAGCAGATAATCACTTAACTGCTTGTCAATATAACTGATCAGCCCTGCAAGCATATTCTACTTAGAAGATAGGCCTACCTGTTGGCGCTGAAAATTATTTGCTGAATTTCAAAAAAAGATGAATTTTATGTGAATGCTGCATTTATCATTTGATTTTATACTATGTATTTGTCTTTTGTATTCTGCTTTGTTGTGATCTATTATTTTCGGTGGTGTTATTTTTTGTTATATTCTGTTCAAATGTTTTGTGTTTGATGTGTTGTATTCAGCAATGTTGTGTTTTGTTGTTTTCTGCCTTTGTGTTGTGTTCTATTGGGTTGTATTCTCTTTTGTTGTGTTGCGTTCGGTTGTGTTGTGTTTTGTTCTGTTATATTCTGTTGTGTTAGGTTGTGTTGTGTTATGTTGCATCGTGTTGTTTTGTTGTATTGTATTGTGTTGTGTTGTGTTGCATTGAGTTGTGTTGCGTCGAACCGCGTTGCGTTTGTGTTGTGTTTTGTGATCTGTTTATTTTCTGCTGTTCTGCTGTTTTGTATTCTTTTGTTTTGTATCCGTCATGTTTAAACCTGCTGTGCGTAAATACACAGGTATTATGTATTTGCTTGCATTGTATTTTGGTTGCAATGTATTCTGTTGCGTTGTGCTCTATTGTGTTGGATTATGTTGTGTTCCGTTGTGTTGTGCTCTTTGCATCTAAGTTGCGTTGCGTTACGTTGTGTTGTGTTGCGATTTGTGTTCGTGTTCTGTTCTGTTGGGTTGTGTTCTGTTCTGTTGTTGGGGAATGGATAGGTCGATACACCATTTGGTTGAGGACAGTGTTTACCGTGACTGTTTATTCCACAACAATATTTTAATACAGATTGATTGATTGGACATGTTAGAGTGAACTGAGACAAAGAGAACTGGTTGAACTGAAATAGACTAGAATTGAAATGGAATTGAAACAGAAATGAAACAGAATGAGGAACTGCTAGTGGAGCAGCACTTATATACTGGTGGTAAAAGGAAGTCTTGGGAATAAGAAATACTAAAGAATGCGGAAACTTAGTCATATCGTGGTATTGAGTCTCAGAAAAATGACTAGGAATGAGTAAAAAAATTCCTTAAAACAATGATCTTGAAAGTAACTTGGTTATACTAAGAAACTGACCAGTGACTTGTGCGTGTGGGCAGTGAAGGTCATTTGCTCTGTATGACAGTATAGGGACTACACATTGCAAAGGCACTGTGTGGGTGTATGTGTATACAAGGAAAACAATGAGTAATGCACTCAGGAGAATTAATCATTAAAAAGTTCAAAAAAAACCATTGATAATTAAAGTGTGATAATTAACTAAAAATTAAGACGAATTGATAATTAAGAATTGATAATCTGAAAACGCTACACTGTTCTGTCTTTGTGCTCTGTTCTTTTGTGTTCTGTTCTGCTCTGCTCTGCTCTGTATCAACGCTTCACTTCGTAATGTTTGATATCATTTCTCAATTCCTATTTGAAAAGTTTTTTACAAGTTGCAATATACATATATTTGGTTGTTTGAAGGGAGTCGCAGGAAACGGCAAATTTAGCACCAACGACCAGCTGATAGACGTCATGACTTCGATCATCTTCATTAGCAGTGTTCAGCATGCTGCCGTCAATTTCAACCAATATGACGAGTATGCTTTCCCGCCAAATGCACCGCTGTGGATGAACGGAACACCACCTAAAGACAAGGTTGGCCTCATTGTCATGCAGTTAGGGTGTGAGATCTGGGACAAGCAAAAAAAGAATATATTCTAAGAAAAAATCCTCTCAGATACATTTGCAAGCACAATGCATGACATCTAATTTTGCTTTGATGTTTTCCAGACTCCACTCACTGAGCAGGATATCCTAAACAGTCTGCCAAACAAAGAGGGCTCGCTTAGTATTATGGCGTTCACAAAAGTACTGAGTGAAAGAGCGACACTGCGACTTGGTAACTTCGAGAAAACCTACCAGTCAGACCCAGTGGGCAAGGAGGCTGTAGACAGGTATGCTTTATTTAAGTCCCGGTCCCAAAGTTTCCACGACTCATTTCGATTCATCTGGTTGATGGCCCCCTCTACCGTCGTGGAGGCTTTACCGCGCCAGCCAGGGATGAGGCAGGGTACATCTGCGAAAACAAATCGAACTCCAGTCCTGGACCGACTAGTCCCTTATCCTGGCTCCAATTTGATTGGATTCATTAGCGATGGTAATGATGCGGTCTATTTTGTTTCAATTTCTTATAGTTGCGGCCATCCAATAAATAATATACTTGCTTGGCTACAGATCGGTTCGTTCTATACTAAATTCATGAGTATTTCTTAATTGTTTTTTTTTTTTTTGCAGATTTCAAAATGAACTACGTTCCATTGAGAAAACCATACAATCACGTGATGCCAGGCGGAGAATTGGATACCCATATCTGAATCCGCGAGAGATTCCAAACGCTATCAGTATCTAATTTTGTGTGATAGCGTGACGGTCGTGATTTGGTCAGAAGCAAACATGACATAACGATTTTCGCAATATTCAAGAATATATATATATTTATGCAAATCGCCCATCACAAGGCCAAAGGCCACTCGAGGTGTGGGCTTCACAAGAAAGTGTGGAAGAACCAGCCGCTCACACTGAAACAAGACAAGATAATCTAATCTCTTCACAGTATGAATGGGCAATTCCAACGTTATGAAAGGAAGTGTAATGTCCGTAACAGAGCTAATGAACCATGAAGTATAATTAATGATTTAGAGAAAAAATCCAAAACTCCTAGTCTGTCTCATTGATCATTACTAGATAACATTATTAATGCAGAAGATACATTGACAAATACATTTTGAGGTCTGTTCACAGCTTTTTAAAGCTCTGTTACGGACAGAACGCTAAAATTTCCCAAATATTACATTGCCGAAATGTTTTTACGTGGTTTTCATATTTTTACTTTAAATTTCATTTAGCAACTGCAGTGTGATGTTTACACATACATACGTAACAAGTTTAATTATTTTAGTCAGACGCAGTAACTTCAATTTATCTCAACATATTACAGGTGTATTATTGTTTTACTCCAATATTAGGATGGTTGCATGTATATTAAATAGCAGTTTTATCCTTCTAAGATCATTTGACGTTTATT